ATAGGAAGGGGAAAACATGAACACGATGAAGCCACTGTGCAAACAGTTTAAAAAAAGGGTTTGGCAATACAAATTTCAATCAGTCTGCATTAATCAAGACTTTAAGATAGTTCTGTTTAGAATGAGGTCTATGGAAGAGGAAATAAAAGATCTTCATGGCTGAAATGCACCTCTGCCCGAAGTTCTATGAAAAGATTTCCCCTCACCTAATGTCTGACTCTCCAGTGCATCACCCCAGGATTTACTGCTGACTTACCTAGCCTTGGACACAGATTACAAAATTAGCACTAGAGAGTTGGACTGTTACCTGATCCTAGCCCTGCTACCCCCACTGGCAACAACTACCAAAAAGCACATGCCTCCAAAGCTAGAAGAAATCCCTAAATTTTTAAGTTATTGCATCAAAAGGAACACAGTTCACCATCAGTGTGGCACCACTACTCCTTCTTTCTGTTTTCTCAGTCATGTTTACTAACAAGAGAACAAAAGGACTTTTAAATATCAAAATCAATGGAGGGTAAGGATAGGGACAAAGATCTAGTAAAAAACTGAGATTCCCGGCCTTATGTGGACAACTGACTTTTAAAAAGGTATTTGAAAAGAAAGATTACCAACCATCACCTATTTATTTACACACAACAGTGGTCTAGTGAACACCAAGACTCCGGGAGCCTAGTGTTCTGTCTGAATGCTCTCAGATCCTCCAGCTCCACCTGGGACCATCAACTACTCTTTAATCCATCCCAACATGATAAACTGGTAAAGCCAATGCATCCTTATGTATTCTATCTGCCTCTGTCATACACATTTTGTTTCTTGAGAAGATAACAAGCTAATGTTCAGCAGGAACTTCACTGTTTTTTTTTTTTTCTAAATAGCAAATCAAATAATTTAAAAGAACAGTCATATCTTTGCCCCCAAATACATGTAGTATGAAAGCAGTGAACAACTCTAGGATTTATCGTAATCTTTTCTCATCTTCCTTCCCTCTTCCCTACAAAAGAAAACCACTTATTCTAATATAGGCCCAAATATGAGGTTGCCAACTAAGAACCCTAAAAGGTTCTTAGCAGGGGATATACTTAGACCCACAAAATCTAGGACCTTCACCCAAAAATGACTATCATTTTTTGATAAACCTGAGGAGATCTTCCAAGTAGCAATCAAGACTGGCAGCAACAAGGTTTTTTGTTTGTTTTTCCCACTGACAAACCATTTATGCATGCCCGCTGTGGGCCCTGCCGGGTATGACAAGGATCCAGCTGTGGATCAGAAACAGCATTTATCCCCATCCCTTACCTGGGACAGTCCATTAGAGGGAGGCCTGAGCTGCAAGGACGTGTAGACCCCAATAAAGAGTCCCCAGACTCCATCAGGCTTTGCAGTTCACCTGTCACGATGACGAGGCAGAGAGGACCTGAACAACGTTTATTTTAAGGTACTTCTCCAGAGCACCTATGTGCAGCACCACTGGTATTAGAGTTATTACAATTTTTGGATTTGGGAATGATTCAAGAAACATTTGACTTTTTAGCGTAATGCAAAAATCAAGCTCTGGCTCTACCACAAATGAAAAGAAAATTCCATGTTTCTGTACATCTGCCTCTCTGAGCAGGGAAATAATTCTCCCTAATCAGCAATACGTATCAAAAGCAAACTTTCATGTAGAGTAATGTACATAACTATAGCACCTAAGCCCTGCCACTTGACTCAATTACTTTTGCTTAAAGCTATTCAGAGAAGAGAGAAGAGTTCGACTCTGCTTCTCCTTTGCCTTGTCACAAACAACAACAAAGCAGTGAAAACTTGAGCAGAGGATATGGACAGTGCTTTCCAGAGGCTGAACTGCCACTTTAATTAAGTCAAAGGCATATGTATGGAGAGTAAAGCTGCCTAAAATGAAACCAGAAGTAAGTTTAATTCAGAAAGAACATGGATCTCTGCTTAGTCCTTTGAGCTAAAGAAAAAGATAAAAAAAAAATAATAATATAAAATTCCATCAATGGGAACCATGTACTCCAACAATTTCAAGACAAACACTGTATCTTCTTTGGTTCCACAGACAACCTTTTGAACCCAAAGAGAAGGCAAGATGACTTATGACTTAAAAGGAACTCTCTGGGTACTGTGCATTACTGCCCACTTCTCCAGATGCGTGAAAAAATAATTACTCTTGGGGCACCTGGGTGGCTCAGTGGGTTAAGCCTCTGCCTTCCGCTCAGGTCATGATCCCAGGGTCCTGGGATCGAGCCCTGCATATAAGGCAGGGGGGAAGGCACGTGTCTCTGCTCAGCGAGGAGACTGCTTCGCCCCTCTCTCTGTGTCTCCTTCTCTGCCTACTTGTGATCTCTCTCTCTCTGTCAAATAGATAAGATAGATAGATAGATAAATAAAATTACTCTTGATCGCACTGCTTCTCTGGATGATTTTCCTTGCCCACAAATCTGATCTAACAGTGCTGGGATAATATAATCTAAGCATTCTCCATTTGTTAACATGTAAGAGGTAGGCAAGCAGACTAGAGAGCAGAAAGGAACCAAGAGTCTAAGGGGAAGGAAATGCTTTCCTTCTAAAATTTTCACATACAACTCATTCCTAATTGTGGTTGCTCTAATGCAAATGACTCTAATGCTTTTCTCCACATGGACCAAAGTGGTTACTTCAGGGAAGAATTTAATCCAGTTCCTCTTGCATGTTAAAGGTATTTTTTGTTTTTCGTGTTTTTTTTTTGTTTTGTTTTGTTTTGTTTTGAAATCAGGGAGTAGCTGACTTCATTCAGTAGGGGCAGTTACAGTAACCCAAGGACTGCTTTTCCTTAAAAAAAAAAAAAAATAAGAGACAGTCCTTATCAGACTCCCCCTCCTTAGATGTTTTGGGAGAAAGTTGCTGTAGAGCAGGAACTCTGTCACCCAAGCTCACAGGCCCTGTACGAATCTGATTAAAACTTATTCACAGAAAAATGCGCAAGAAACAGAATTCTGCAAATCAGTCTATGGACCCAGGTTAAGAACTTCTGGCCTATGGATAGACAAGACTTCGGAAAAGATGAGGTCAGTGCAGCGGGTAGTGACATCCTTTAGGTCTAAAACAGAACCTTTCCCTTCCTTAACCAGCAAGTAGGAAAATGGCAAGAGTACTACCACAGGCTCATTAAGAATGTGGGGTTCCACTCACAGGCAGTTCAGGCTTGGGAGCTTGGCTCTGGCCTGGGGATGCACTGCAGTCTATGACTGTCTATCTAATCTTACCTTCCTCTGTGGCCTGAAGACTCCAGTGGCCTATAAAGTATTCCTACTGTCTTCTCTCTCCTTTTATACCTCTATGTACTTTCCAAATATAACTCTAATACTTCTAATCCATCTTGGGGTCTGCTTCTAAGAGGACTTAGACTAACCCACCTGCAGTTACTGATGCTTCCACAGCACCTTCATGCAGGTCCCTGAGGACAGGACCTTGGATTCCTCCAATTCTCACTCCAGTAACACTTTTCAACACAGGAACTATGCCTCTTTAGAGGATAACTTCTTACTCAGCGGGATGAAGCTCCTGGAAGCCAAGAGGCCAATGATGTTCTGGTTTCACAGACACCACAGGTAGTTCTGAAATTTTTGCCTCCAGGTTAAGCACCAACGGTATGACAGGAATTGGCATGGAAGCCCAAATTAATATAAGGTAAGACGTGTAAAAGGCCTTACATCTGTCAGGCCTGAATATATGAAAAAATACACACACACACACACACACACGTGCGTGTGTGTGTGTGCGTGTGGCCCTGACTAATGCTAGAGAAATCCTTCACATTTATAGTATATTAAACATGGACCTGGGGGCACCTGGGTGGCTCAGTTGGTTAAGTGTCTGCCTTTGGCTCATGATCCTGGGATCCTGGGATCGAGCCTCATGTTGGGCTCCCTGCTCAACAGGACGCCTGCTTCTCCTTCTCCCTCTGCCCCCGACTTGTGCTTGCTCTCTCTCTCTAGTGCTCTCAAATACATAAAACCTTAAAATAAGATAAACGTGGAATTGTACGTTCATAACCAAGTTCTGAAAAATGATGACACTATTCGCCAAGGAGAAGAAACAGGTCAAGTAAAAACAAAATCCTATTCCAAAGTAAAGTGACCCTCTGTATTCACCAGAGATTCCAACAACAGTGATTATTAGACTCAAAGTCAGTGTGCCAGTAGGAGCTATTAAGTATGCAAATGCTCTGTTACATGGGGGCTACAATGCCCCAAATCAAGCTCAGTCCTTTCAGATGAAGGAGTAAGTGAGATTCAGAGGTAAATACGAGGGACTATACCAGAATCCAACCATGCTCTATCACTTGTCCTCAATCACTTCTGTTCTAGGTTTATGTTTATTTAGGGCATGCAGTATTAAATGACAGTATCACCCTTATTCTCCTAGTAAGACATCTAAAGATCAAATCAGCATTATTTTTCAATCAGCACTATGATCAAAACATCGTTGTAAAATGAGACAGAAAAGGAGAAATCTTTTTAGTTCAATTTCCCCTTCAATTCTCAAGGAGCAAAAGTAACCAAATACTTTGTATTGTAAGGTTTTTCCCCCCCTCTTCATTCTTGGTTCATGATGTTAAGCTCTTAATGACAAGAAGCCAAGCCCACCTTGGCTAGTTTTCCAACACATCTAAAGCAAATCATAGTCAGACTTCTATTTTCGCCAAGCATGACAACAAGGTGACTGAGTAGCCTTCCAAACTACCGGAGCAGCAGGCACTACCTCGCACAGGCCAGCGTTAAATCTGCACTTCACAAATCGTGCAGGCTCCTGCCCATGTAGATGATCTCTCTCTGCAGAACCGGCAGTCTAACACTGGCTCTTCCAAGCATTAAAAATCATCACTCTGCTATCCCAACTCACTGTTCAGACGGGTCTTCCTGAATGCAGCCTTTATTATACCTCATTGCTGCTTCCTGCACTGAAGGAATACCATGTTTTTAAGTCAGGGGTCCTCTTTCTTGCTTTATTACAATCAAGGGGTCTTACAGCGACCCCGATGCTGTTACAAAGCACAGTGCTTTATAACAGTAAAGCTTCTGGAAAACCCAAACAAAAGACACGTCACCCGGTGACGTCAGCCTATATACAGTTCTGTGTGGTCGCAGCACATAAGCAATTCCATTCTTGTGCCGTTTCTCGGAAAAGCTTTTCAGTAAATGCACTCATGCTGCTCCAGGAGCTCTTCTCTGCAACAAGCCGCCCATCTGCCATCAACAAGTTAAGACCGAGGGAACTAACGGCTGCGGAAAGGAGAGACTGAAGCTTTGATTGACCAGCCGAGCAGTTAAAGGAGGACAAAATTAATAACTTACATTCAAAACTGATTAAGGGAAGCAGAGAGGACACAGAAAATGAAACCAATGCTTTCAAGAGGAATATCCTAAGGAAAAAAATAACTCACCCTGGTGGATTCAGTTTTGCTCAGAAAGCCTGGGACACAGAAAACAGGAAACTGGTCAAAGGCTCCTGCATGTTAGAGCCTTTTACAGACTCACTGCGTTGAGTCTAACAACCGCGACTGAATGCAGCCTCCAATGTGCTCAGAAGAATGGGTAAGTCCATGCATTTATGTGTCTTGTACAGTCAGCAAGGAATCGTGCTTTTTAAAATAAGCCACTGAATTCATGTTTTATGAAAGAAATCACTGTCAAATTTCTGGATTTTGAGGTTTAGGTAATAGCCTATATTGCTAATTACAGAACATGCTCTATTTTCTTAATGGTTTAAGTTTTGTTCTAGTCATACTAACAAGGTTAGTTTTCCTGCAGCAAATGAAAAATAAGTTATATGCAGTGAAATCTTTCGCCATAATGTTGTTTTTTTTTTTAACAGCTCATACATTCTGCTGAAAAATATCCTATCTTCTTGTTTTCCTTAAATTATATTCTGCAGGCTTACATTTCAAGTGGCCATTAGGGGCCCCTATGCTGGCAGCAATATATGCAATGAGTATGGTTTTAAAAATGCTGCCTGCCCTGGGTATGGCGTGTCCACCCAAATGCCGCTGCGAGAAGCTGCTCTTCTACTGCGACTCTCAGGGCTTCCGCTCAGTGCCAAACGCCACAGACAAGGGCTCTCTAGGCCTGTCCCTGAGGCACAATCACATCACAGAGCTCGAAAGGGATCAATTTGCCAGCTTCAGTCAACTTACCTGGCTCCACTTAGACCACAATCAAATTTCAACAGTTAAAGAAGATGCTTTTCAAGGACTATATAAACTTAAGGAATTAATCTTAAGTTCCAACAAAATATTTTACTTGCCAAACACAACTTTTACTCAACTGATTAACCTGCAAAATTTGGACCTGTCTTTTAATCAGCTGTCATCTCTGCACCCAGAGCTCTTCTACGGCCTTCGGAAGCTGCAGACCTTGCATTTACGGTCCAACTCCCTGCGGACTATCCCAGTACGCCTGTTCTGGGACTGTCGTAGTCTCGAGTTTCTGGATTTGAGCACAAACCGTTTGCGAAGTTTGGCTCGCAATGGATTTGCAGGATTAATCAAACTGAGAGAGCTTCACCTAGAGCACAACCAGCTGACGAAGATTAATTTTGCTCATTTCCTACGGCTAAGCAGTCTGCACACACTCTTCTTACAATGGAACAAAATTAGCAACTTGACATGTGGAATGGAGTGGACCTGGGGCACTTTAGAAAAGCTAGACTTGACTGGAAATGAAATCAAAGCCATCGACCCAACAGTGTTTGAAACGATGCCTAATCTTAAAATTCTTCTCATGGATAACAACAAGTTAAATAGCCTTGATTCCAAGATCTTAAACTCCCTGAGATCCCTCACAACCGTCGGCCTCTCTGGCAATCTGTGGGAATGCAGCCCTCGAATATGTGCTCTGGCCTCCTGGCTGGGCAGTTTCCAAGGTCGGTGGGAACATTCCATCCTATGTCACAGCCCTGACCACACCCAAGGAGAGGATATACTAGATGCAGTCCACGGATTTCAGCTCTGCTGGAATTTATCAACCACTGTCACTGCCATGGCTACAACTTATAGAGATCCAACCACTGAATACACAAACAGAATAAGCTCATCAAGTTACCATGTGGGAGACAAAGAAATCCCAACTACTGCAGGCATAGCAGTTACTACTGAGGAACACTTTCCCGAAACAGACAATGCCATCTTCACTCAGCGGGTAATTACAGGAACAATGGCTTTATTGTTTTCTTTCTTTTTTATTATTTTTATAGTGTTCATCTCCAGGAAGTGCTGCCCTCCCACTTTAAGAAGAATTAGGCAGTGCTCAATGATTCAGAACCACAGGCAGCTCCGATCCCAAACACGACTCCATATGTCAAACATGTCAGACCAAGGACCGTATAATGAATATGAACCCACCCATGAAGGACCCTTCATCATCATTAATGGTTATGGACAGTGCAAGTGTCAGCAGCTGCCATACAAAGAATGTGAAGTATAATATCGGCCCGTCATCAAAAATTACATCAGATAAGTAACCTATTTTACATAGTAGGGGCTAAATACATACCTAATTTTTACCAATGGTGACATTAAGCCTAATTTTCCAAATCAAGTGGAGACTTAAGTTTTTGAAGTGTTGAAGTATTTTTAATTTTTTTTATGAAACCATATTTCAAGTGTTATATGAAGCAAAGCTCTTATTAATTTGCACTCTTGTTGCAAAGTCTAAAAATGCTTACTTCAAAATAAGACATTTCATGTATGTAATTATAAACTATTATGTGTAAACATTTACACTAAGGTCTCCATATGCTATTTTTTTTCTACTGAAAACAGTTTGGAAAGAAGCTACTGAGCAGAAAAAGATATGGATCAATACTTGTTAGATCACTGCTCTCCATCCCAAGTACCACAACTGGCTTGCTGCTTAAAAGGAGGCTTAGCAAAGTTCCCTTATATGATAATTTGGTATTTACTCAAATCTACAATTTACTGCCAGTGTGGGAAGTAGAATTTGATGTATGCTGAAGACTGGTAAATATTAAACACTCTTCTTCCAGAGTTTTTGCCTGGGTTGGTAGATACTATCGAAGTCCACATTATGAAATCAGAACCCTTTATGTAATTTTAATAAACTGAGTGACTCTTTAATATATTTAAATAATGAATCCAAGTGATTGTGAAAAGGTCTCATTACAATGAAATCAATAGTAAATACACTGACTTCATGTGACATATCTCTAGTTTTACTTATAATGGAAATGTTGATTTTTGTGGCATTTAGACAATTTTCTTAAACTAGTATTAAATCACCATTTTACTAATTAGTTTACTAAATCCTGTATTTACATTTACATGTAAAAAAAGATTTAGAAATTATTTTGGAGAGAAAAGAGACAAACTGAGTCAATTTAACAATCCTGTGACCTGCTCCCTCTAGTTTGAAAGCACAAAAAATTCTCTCCCTCCCTCCATGATCAAAGATGCCTTGACAAAGGGGTTTAAACCTCTTTCTTCTGCCTTCTCCTGATCTTCAAACCTCAAAAAGCCAAATTAAAAACAATTGGCTAGCAAGAGGCATAACACTAGTTCTTAACAGAATATAGTATAATGGAACAAAGAAAAAAATCACTTTCTAAATATTATATGCTGAAATGTGGCTATTTAATAAAGATATCTATCCATACTATAAGAGCAGTTCCTTCTAAGTGAAGGGAACAACATATTACTGAAGAGAACATTCTACATGCCTATACAGCCACACAGCGGTAATGCAAAGGTGGCATGGAGGTGAAGGGATGAAAGGGAAAGGTAGCATTTTGAAATGTGACCCAAAGAAACAGTATAGCTTAAGTTGAAAGACAGGCATGAGTAAGGCAAAGGTTAACTACACAATCTGCATCAAACAGGGCAAGGCCCTGGGACCTGAAGCTGAAAAGGGGAGAGAGTGTTAATAAAAACATTCCATCATTAACAAATGGTAACGATGCCATACTTTTCATGCAGAAAAGAGCCATAAGTATCTCATCTCTTTGATTATGATTTCTACAAAGAAACTACGACATATTCGGGATTTAGATCCAAGTCATCATTTCATATAGAATTTTTCCATAAAAGAGGTTTCTTGCATGTAGTAGCAAAACCCATTAAATTAGACTGGCTTAATTTTAGAAAAATGAGCATTTCTACAACTGACATTAGCTCTATGTGAAAAAAGGCATATATCCTTAGAGAAAACCACTACTGTTAAAACAAACAAACAAACAAACAAACAAAAAACCCAGCTAATCTTTCCCTTAATATGACAATTAACACGTTATCCTTCTATCCAAGGCATGTTTTCTTCCCAGGATTGAACTGCAAACATGCTAAGACTACAGTTTAACCCATGAGATTTAACTGTAATTTTTTTCTTCTTTAATAGTAAGAGAGGGGTGTCTACCTACATTTCAAAGAAAACGTCTATCAGTAAAAACGCAGATGAGATCACAAATTAAGGTAAAAATGTGCTCTCTATATTTTTTAGGGTGGGTAGATTAGTTTGGCAAAGTCTCAGCCCAGCTGTGTTCAGCTGATCTTGAGCGGTGAGCATTTCATTTCTTATTAAACCAGACCCTGGGCCTGCCTGAGCAGAGACAGAAGCTGATTTTACGGCATAGAGCACAGATCATCGCTTCCCTATGGAGGGGCTGGATCAGAAGCCCCATTACAAATGAGAGCTCCATGAGCTAAAATTTACCAACCCATTTATCAGGGTAACCATGGCCATTTGTCAGGGTAAGCTTTGTCACAACACAACTGTGCCCTGAACACACAGACTCCACTAGCCCTAAAGGATAGCACTGGAGTATTTTCCGTCATTTCATCCACAATCAACATTAATTGAAACTGTGAAGAGAAGGATGAGAAATACTGGCTAAAAATTCCCACATAAATATTAAAGACCATCAACTGACAAAATCCTTCATGTGTGTAGAAAAGTAAACTGGGAAAGCAAGCAATTCAGTAAATTCTGGAAATAGCATAGCAAAGCCACTAAGGAATACTTTCCAGTCGAAAACTATAAAAATTTTTTGCCCTCCATTTTTTTGGTAATGCTCTCAGAGAAAAGTAACAGTGCCAGACAGCATTTTCCTTTTTCATTTAAAGTACAAACTTCCCTTTTCAACTGCTTGTAGAAGGCAGGATTCCAGTGAATTCTGGCCTATTTGTGTTTGGTATCGGCACAGGTTTGAGGATGAGACTGTTAGTCATATGTCCTCTCTTTACCAACTGGCTAGGGTGTAAGAGCATCACAGCTACACTGCAGAACCTGGTAATATGATGTTAGAGCTTTTGTTTCATCAGTGTAGTCTTATCCTCTTCAGCGCCTCCCCCCTCCCTCAGATCTTTTTTCACTTTCAAGGTTTGAGGAAAATGACCACTTAAACAAGAACCAGAAAAATAATTAAATCTCTCTGGAAAAAGAAAAGCTAAGAAGGCCATGATACTGTATCCACCTAGTAACCAAGAGCTTGTTTGGAATCGTTTATATTCATTTCTGTAGCTTGCCAGGGATTTCAATCACTTTTCTGAAATCAGAGTGGGCTGATAAATCTGCAAATCCACACACAACTCAGAGAATACCCACTGCCAACATCAAATAGCAAAGATACTAATTTTTTAAGCCAAAAATCTGCACTAACACATGTAATTTCTTAATGTGCCTAAGTTAATTTCTATACCAATTCAATGAATGGAATCGACTGAACTTTCCAACTCCACTAATTATTAAAATCCATCTGCTTATTCTAATGCTAGTCACCAAGAGCTAGACTCCATCTTTCCAATAAAAATGAGCCCTCTGTATCGCTAGGTCCAAATCCTAAAATTCAAAACAGGCATATCATTTTCTTAAGGCATACTTCCTACACATGCTACCAGGGCAAAAAGCTATAAATGTTTTCTTCCTAAAATGTGGATATCTATATGAAATTTTAAAAGAATATTTTGAGAAGCTGACTTACATGATCATTTTCCTAATAGAGCAATACAGTGACAGACCTTTCTCAAAGTCTGTTTTGGGACATGATCTTCGTATTTCATTGGCTTAAATGCTTCAACCAGAAAAAGATGAAGATAAAAATGATAAGGTCATCTATAGGTAATTAAATATTCCTGTTCTTAATCTAGGGCAAAATCACAGTACTTGAATAAGGCCAAAAACACAAGGAAAATGTTCAAGCTTTCATACAAGCTATTCACACAAACATTTGGAAACCTCTGCTACTCCTTCAACTAACATATTCTTCCTTGGTAATCTTAAAAAAAAAAAAAAAAAGTCTGATATATGGAATGTTTGGTGAACCTTCCTATCAACACTGAGAATGGACACTAAGAGTACAGTCCAAACACATTGTGTTCAATCACCTTAAGAGCCATTTTTCTGTTTTGTTTTGTTTTTGCTGGGAGGTGGGCAACTGGGTTGGGGGGGTGGGAAGAAAATACTATTATAATGGGGCCAGGGGGATAAGTGCAGTGTACAGGAAAGATTTGTTATTAAAATTGTGTATACTGTAAAAAGTGAATGTCTTTTTTTTTTTTAAGCTTTTCCTTGGTAGGCAATCAATTTTGACATGTGAAACTTGAAAAACCATTTGTGACAGAGAAACCTTAAATGAACATTTGTTTTGTACCATATTCTCTACAATGCCAAATATGCCAGTTGAGTAAAGGGCAGTTAATCAACTCTCTTCATCGAGAGAAAGGTTAAACTAAGTGAAGGACGGGGTGGTGGTGGTTGGGTGGGGAGGGGGTTGGGAACAGCCCTAGCCAAAAAGCTACCATGCCAACAGCTAGTAGCTCTGCAATAAGAAGTTGCTCTGTCACAAGCCTTAGGGAGTGGACAAACAGCTATCCATAGGGATCACAGGGCCTAAGGTTGGCTTCCTATCCTGCCCAAAAGTGGACTGCCACCACATCCTGAGGAGCTTCAAAAAGACTACCTGTATCTAGCAAACAGCAACTTGGCCTTTACCTTGGCAGTTCTCTGGTGGGGACAGACACCAACAGCACCTTACACACCATTCCTGAGAGGGATGGCCATAGGTGCTGACCATGCTGAGATCTCTAGGATCCCCATATATCCTACCCCACTGAGACACCAGCTCAGCAAATATGGATAGGGAAAAGGAAGCTAAGATTTTTAAGTAGTGGCCTTTGCTTGGAATAAACCACCCCAGGATAGGATGCTATGCCTGGGCAGCATGGTGGTGAGGTGGGGGTGGGGGGATTGTGCAGAAAGTGCCCTGGTCTCAAGGAACTGACTGCCAGGAGCTGCCACATTTGACTGGATGTACTTGCTACTTCTCTAGGCCCAGAGCAATGCAGCAGGACTACACCGCAGGAAAAATCAAGGCCAGCCCTTTCACCCAGGATTAAGGGGATCAGAGAGGCTAAGAGAGCTATCACACCAGGAATCTCAGCAGTAACAAGGGCAGAGACAGGAACCTCAGCACAAAATTTTACTGTCAAACTCATCATGTATGCACTAGAAGGCAGAGGTGATGGTGGTTTCAATTTGCACAAAGAACTGAATTCCTATACTATATGGAGTTAAAAGAGCTTATTAACCTAATACTCATACATTTAAATCTTGAAAATCCCATGTAAAGCTACATCTCATTTCTTTATCAGCTATTTTAATTAGTTTTGCCTGTATGCCACAGCATTCTCAGGTTCCCACTCAAATTTATAATAGATTTCTTCAAGGTCTGTTTCAAGTGATTTTTTTCCCTTTCTTTAAATATATCTAACCAGCTGGGTACTCAAATCTCCCTTAGACGAAATGTACTACAAATCATCTTTCACAAAGAGAGAAAGAGAGGTGAAAAATCATAGCTATTCCAAACATCGCTCCTTCTTAGCATGAGTTCCTCCTCACCAGCCAAAGTTTTGGGAACACTCTTTAGGGACACATGTTGAGCCTCCCTTCCCCTAGCCACAGGGGACATTAAAGAGAAAGAAATTTCCAAAGGCAAGTACAACGAGGCACCCTATCCTACGAAGTCTGCAAACTGAACATACACCAACCCTTAATACATGGAGGCCCAAGAGCAAAGTCTACCACATGGCCTCCCACATGGGTCTCAGGACCCCCCACCAGCACCCCAACATGAAGAAGCATCTGTGAACAATTAGCCTGAAGGCAGGGCCAATAACTCTACCACCACGCTAAGACACAAGACACTCTTTCCTCACTTGAGAAACAGATTTTAAAACTGCAACCCCAGAGACAAACCCAAAGCAGTTTTACAACTTTCATCAAGACACTTGACCAAAAACTATGGTAGAGAGATAAAAATGTTTTAACTTCAATAACTGACTCTCCATTCAAAATTGTGTTCAGAGCACAAGAACTCCATGTTTAGGCTGTGGTATTTGTACAAAAATATACACATGTGCACCTGCACATATTTACACACACATACACACATACACATATGTGTATAATTTAAATATATACATGTAAAACCTATAAGTTGCTTCTTTTGAAAAATTAGAAACTATACAGCCACTGATATTAGCCCACCTGCTTCATCACCATGAGAAGCAAAAATGTTCCTCGAGATAGACTAAAACATTTCCCATGGCCTAGCTGCCAAATATACAGAGAGCAACTGCTCAGCACCTTACACCTTTGAAAACTATTTATCATTTCATATAACTTACTTCTATGAAGTGAAGGAAACAGAGCTTAATACATTCACATGAACTAAATGGTTCATATATTTTTTAAAGATTTTATTTATTGATTTGAGAGAGAGCCATACAGAGAAAGAAAATGAGCAAGGAGGCAGGAGAGAGAGAAGCAGGCTCCCCAATGATCCAGGAGCCCAGCGAGGGGCTCGATCCCAGGAACCAGGATCATGACCTGAGTCAAAGGCAGATGTTTAACCAGGTGCCCCAAATGGTTCAAATATGGATATGAAAAGATCAGAAGCAGGGATTCTTAACTCTAAGGGTCCAGGATATGTTTCACAGAAAGCAAGAACCTCTTGAAATTACAATGCAAGTATTTTATGTATGTTTTTATGTATGTCTGAATATTTCACCAGATTCTAAAGGGTTGTGATAACTTACCAAAAGAAAACTTATTTTAAAAAAACTTATTTAAAAAGTTTATTATTAAACTTATTAAAACTTATTGGAACTTATTAAACTTATTTTTTTTAAAAAGCCCTAGCAGAATGATGGGACAGTTATTTCTAGTATACAC